TAGATGTCTGCCAACCCTGGTCAACAAAGGGGGAGGAAGTTGCAGTGAATCAGGAAGTGGTTAATATTAGCGCAGTTTGCCAGATCTCAGTGGTGGAGGCAGCCAATATATCCTGTGGAGGAGGGAGCATGGGTAGCTATCAGTTGCCAGCTTTCTCAGATGTGTCCTCACAGGCACCCATGCTTTTTCCCTTCAGGAAAGAACACAGGTATTTTGCACAACACAACCACAGAAACAGAATGGTTTGGGTTGGAAAGGACTCCAACCCCCCCTGCAATGAGCAGGAACTCTACTTTTCCAGCTCTAAGTTCAAATCAATGCCAAAATTCCTGCACAACTAAATTCTGTCCCTTTGTGCTACTGATGCCACCTGGCAGGAGAGTTGTACCTGGATATCTGGGCTAATCATCTACTGTTCTTCACTAGCCAGCCTGCTGCCCTTTAGTATAATTTCAGTGTATTTAGTTGTGCTGCATGGTTCCCTAACATATCCACCCCACAGCATTAGCAGGTCCCTGCCTTAGCATGGGCCAGATTATATTTATGGAAACAAACCAATCATCTCTCAGGAATGGGATGTAAGGACATGTTTGCATTCCCTGTGCAGCACAGGATTAACAGCAGTTGCCAAATTTCTAAATTGCTGCTTCTGTGGGGAAACAATCAGTAATATGCCTCCTATTACTTTCTTGCTTTCTTTTTGTGTGTATTTTTTTTTTTTTTTTGGTGTGTGTGTGGGTTTTTTTTTGTTGTTGTTTGTTTGTTTGGTTTTTTACCACGTCTATAATCATAGTGGAAAAATCAATTTTATCAAATTTTATCAAAGCACTAACCACCAGTACGTGACTGTATGCATGAAGACCTAGAGATCAACTGATAACTGCAGCTGCCCACTCTAAGAAGGGAAGTGGAAGGTGAGCTGTCAGCTGCACTGTGAGTTCAGAGAGCTGTGCTAGCTGTTCACAGTAGGGGATCCTGTGTCAGTAACTGCTCTCCCTGTCATCAGCTTGGCACAGCACTTCAGTGTGAATTTGCTTTCCCTCCTAATCCACATGGACATTGATGGGTATGCTCAAGACTTTAAAGAGACCAAGGTATCTAACTTCTGTTGCCTGCAGTAAGAGTTAAGTGCCCAATATATTTACAGCTTATTAAAAGCAGAATGATTTAAGGATGTGCTTGATTATCTAACTGATCCACATCTGACCATAGAGAGGATCAGTGTTTAGGACACAACCTTCTTCCTATGTACTTAAGTTAGAACACAACTAGTTCTTTTTAGTGATTTTACTTTTCAGCTAAGTCCCTCCTCAGTAACTGCACTTTCAGCAGTTAGTGTATTTTGCAGACAGTGTCAGCTTCTAGCAGTGGTAACACTCCACGTTTGCAGTTGCTACCAAGGACTGGTGTGCAGAAAGGCTCTTGTTTCTATTTGCTCCTGTGCAGACCAAGGTCACTGCTAAATCTTGTGTACCACATTAGAGGTGCAGAAAGTAAAAGGCTGCACTTGTGGGGAGGAGCAGACAGGACAGGTGACCCTACACTGACCAACAAAATGTTCCATTTTATATACGTCATATTCAGAATAAAGCCGAGGGATCACGAGGGTCAAGCTCTCTTCTTCTATGGCTGGCATCCGAGGAGGATTCTGTCCATTCTGCTTTCAATCCTAAGCCACGTGTTCCTGAATCCAGTTCCAGAATCCAGCTTCTCAATCTGGTTCCCATCTGCTGAGTCCAGTCTGGGACTTCCCCAGTGCTGCCCACAGCATCAGTGGTGACGGTAATTGCCACTGGGGGCTTGGGTTTGATATTGGTTTTGTATCTATTTCATTTTATTATTACTATTTTAATTAAAGCTGTTCTAGTTTTCTTTTCCAATCCCTAAGCTTTTCTTCCTTAACCCCTTTTTCTTCCCCTTTGGGGAGGGATAGCCATCAATAGAGACCAACTGTCATTTGTCTAGTGGCCAGTGCAGCTCTAACCCTTGATAGAGTTATGGGCACACAACGTGAGGCACGACTGGAGCTCTGACAGATTGCCCAAATAATTAGAATTTTCTGCTGAAAGTACCATATCTTTTTCTCTGAGAATCTTCAGGGGTTGGAAATTAAAACAGACCGCTTATATCATGTTGCTGCTGAGAGCATAATTATTTAATGTATTTTTAGTGTGATTGAGAGTTAAATGCTGTAAAGTTCCCTTACCTGACATATGCATTGTGTTATTGTTTACTTGTTCTTACTGTTTGTCTGAAAGTGATGTGTTCTGGGTGCTGGGCTAAAGCCACGGCTTTGCTCTGGTGTTTACCAATGATCTGAGCTGTGCTAAATGGGGCAGAAAGTGCACCTATGCACTCCTGGCATTACAGAGTGGGTTTTTTTACTAAGTATACCTTCGATTTTAACTTGGGAAATTACTTTTCTCTCTTTTATACCCGATTGGTTTCACTAGATTTTGAGATTTTGAATACGGGTGAAATATCATAGTTTTGTCTTTGCATATGTCATTGGTTTTTCTGAATGTCAGAGTAGATTTTGGTGCTGGTAGAGGTGTTAAACAACCACCTCAGCTCAGTGTGGGTGCCACTTCAGCAACACACATTGCACTTGCTCAGACCCTGTGAGGATTTAAGACATGCTCTGCAGCTATTTAGACCCCTCAAGGTTTTATGGCATGTATCACACACAGTGCAGCTATTCACACTCTGCTAGCCCTTGCAAGAAGCCCAGCAGCTACTCCAGCTCTGGCAATGAGTGCTACAGCTACACCAACAGCCACTATGGCCTCTCTTACTCAACGTGCACTGGTACAAGCTGCCCCTGTGAGGTGAAAGAAACAAACTAACCAGCCATATCTCAAATACAGCCTACTGAGCCCAGTGAGGGCTGAGGGAGAGGGTCTATCTCAAGCAGAGCCATCAAAGAGGGAGTCAGAACCAGATGTGAAGGCCAACGTCCCTCTGATAGGGAAAAAACCCACCTAACAAACACAGATTGCCCAGGGTCAGATGACCAGGGAGCAGATCCTTCTAAAGCAAAACTATTGGACGGGGAGTTGTCAGACACAGAATTAATCATCCAGCCTTTATCTGTGAAGAAGGTATGAAATGTGAGAAAGGACTTCAGGGGTCATGATGGTGAGCCACTTACCAGCCAGCTGATCCAGTGCTGGGGTGATGGGGCCAATACCATCGACTTGGACAGTAAAGGCAGCAGGCAGTTGGGTTCCCTGGCCAGAGACACAAGTGTTGACAGGGCACTTGTGAGAAAGAACAATGCTCTCAGTCTCTGGAGGCTACTCTTGTCAGCTGTAAAGATGAGGTATCTCTTTAAGGATGATATCAAATGCCATCTGAGGACCACCATGGGAAAAAGTACTGAGTACCTGAGGGAATTAGCTGTGCAGTAGGTCATTTATGGTGACAGGTGAATAGTAGACTCTGATGCCATGCCAGAGATCCATGCTGTGGAAGTTTGTGCAGAGTGCACCATCAATGCATGCCCACACACTGTCAACAATGGTGTGGGGAAAAGACAGTGAGATGCCAAGCTGTGTCCAAAGTGGCTAACAAAGCATGACAGTATAAAGTCAGTTTCTCTGGTCCCCTATAGGCCTGCATATTGGCTGTGGCTAAGAAAATGGCTAAATAATTTGAAAAGCTGTTTGAAAAACTAGAATGGAGGGAGAATAGATTCTATTCTTCCCCACAATGGACCCATGTTGAAGCCATTAGAGGCTGTTCTGTAAAACCACCTAAACAGGAAGGATACATGACATCACCTACCCTGTGGTCTCTCCTGAGTATGGAGAGCACATGAGTAGATGGGATGGAAAACCTGCCTCTGCACTACAGGCACAAGGACACCACTTACAAGGTAAAATAGAGTTCCTCTAGGAGGAGGAGGGCTGCTTGGGTCTATTGTGAGCAGTTCTCTGGTCCAAGTACTTGGGCTTCAGACCCAAATGTGAGTAGGGGGAATGAAAATGTCACGCATGCGGTCCACACAAATCCCATAAATCAAGTAAAACTTGTGAACCATGTGAACCTGGTAAGCTACACAAACCCAGATGTCAATAGTGGGTTCTACCCTCAGAATTAGAGGGGCCATGCCTCAAGCCAGGCGGGGGAGACAGACAACAAAGTTAATTGGACTGCATGGATTCAATGGCCTGGAAAGTTAGAACCAAAAAGTTATAGTGCCCTGGTAGACACTGGTGCACAGTGCACCCTATTGCCATCAAATCATAAAGAGGCAGAATCTACTACTCTTTATGGAGTGATGGGGAATCTCAAGAACTGACTGTATTGGAGGCTGAAGTGAGCCTAACTGGGAATAAGTGGGAAAAGCACCCTATAGTGTCATCAACTTCCTCAAGAAAAGGTATTACAAGGACCCAAAAGGGTTTCGGTGGGTCTTTGGCACAGAAGCTGTAGAGACTGAGGACATTGAACAGCTGGCTGTTGTGCCTGGACTTTCAGAGGAGTCTGCTGTCGTGGGGTGGATAAGAGTTGAAGATCAAAAGGTGCCAGTTGCTACTAAAACGGTGCATTGACAATATTATACCAAGCAGGGCTCTGTATTTCCTATATAGATGTTGGTCCATCGGAGGGTCAAAGGGTGGTTGACAAAGCTTGCTTACCCTTTAATAGTCCTATATGGCCACTGCAAAAATCTAATGGAGAATGGAGATCAACAGTGGACTGTTGTGGTGTGAATGAAGTTACGCCACCTTTAAGTGCCAGGCATATTAGAACTCCAGTATGAACAGGAGTCAAAGGCAGCTAAGTGGTATGCTCATACTGCTAACACATTTTTCTCCATTCCTATAGCACCAGAAAGCAAACCACAGTTTGTTTTCACCTGGAGAGGCATCCAATACACCTGGAATTGACTACCTCCAGGGTAGAAACACAGCCCCACAGTTTGCCAAGGACTGATCCATACTGCATTGGAGAAAGACAGAGCTCCGGAACACCTGCAGAACACTTATGACATCATGTGGGGCAACACAGCAGAAGATTTTGAGAAAGGTAAGAAAATAATCAAAATTCGTCTAGATGCCCATTTTGCTGTAAAAAGAAGCAAGGTCAATGGACCTGTACTCGAGATCCAATTTTGGGAATTAATTAGCAAGACAGGCATCACCAGATCCCAATGGATGTGATTAACAAAATAACAGCTATGATGTCCCCACCAGTTAACAAAAAGGAAACACAAACTTTCTTAGGCATTGTGGGTTTCTGGAGAACACATATTCCTGGTTACAGTCAGATTGTAAGACCTCTCTCTGAAGTGAATCAAAAGAAAAACAATCTTAATTTGGACCCTGAACAAAACCAGGCCTTTGAGCAGTTCAGTTGAGAGATTGTACACATGGCAGTCCTTGGGCCAGTCTGAACAGGACAAGGCATTAAAAATGTGCTCTACACCACATCTGGGGCTAATGGTCCTACCTGGAGCTGATATATGCACTCACAGTGTAAGACAAATGGAAGACAGGAGTGAGTCCACCGAGGAACTGGGTGACCAGTCCAATTCCAATTGTGTAGCCATGACCATAAAATCATACTATTATTATGTATACATTCCTTTTTCTGCTTCCAGCCACATTGATGACCCACTGTCATGGGTAGTTTGGAGGGGTGGGGTATCCTTCCAGTAACTGGAAATCCTCCATAGCATGTTCACTACATAAACTCCCCCACAACATCACTGCCAGCAGAGCCAGCTTTTATGCTGTTAACTTGGAGGTGGGATACCTAATATTAATGCTGAAGGCAGGAGCACCTGGTGGTGATCTAATTGGTTCCCATCCAAGGCTGGCTAGGCCCTGGGAGAAAACCAGTCAGGAGGGTCTTTCCTGACTGGTTGTGGACATCATCCATATGTCAACCCTGATTCAAGGCTGGGGGGGTTAAACCCCAGCACTTCATTTGGTCCTCTGACATATGGGTAAGCCACAACCCTCACACTACCACCAGGAGCAAAACCATCACTCTTCACCTCACATTTCAGGGACACTGGGATACGGTGGCTTGACTGAGGTCCACAGCTGGTTTCATGTACTAAGCACAGTTTGGCATTCCTATCAGATCCATCCTCCCAGTTTGGAACCTCTGTTAGGCACACACTGCCCACTGATGCACACAAAGTCAGATGTAGCACACGTCCTCCTCACGCAGGTACTTTCAGTATTGTTATCACCATCACATCTCCACAGGATGGGAATACAGCATCCATAATTACAGACCTCTAGGGTTTTGGAGTTGAGGATAGAAAAGCTCCAAGGCCAACTATGCTCCAACTGGAAAAGAAATATTGGCAGCATATGAAGAAGGTAGGACTGCTTCAGAAGTGATTGGCACTGAAGCACAGCTCCTCTTGGTGCTGTGGTTACCAGTACTAGGCTGGATGTTCAAGAGTAAGTTCCCTTTAAGAGTAAGTTCCCATCATGACACTGATGCTACATGGAGTAAATGGCTTGCATTAATCACACAGCAAGCTCAAATAGGAAATCCCAGTTGCCCAGGAATCTTAAAAGTGACCATAGACTGGCCAGAAGGTAAAAACTTTGGAATGCTACCAGAAGAGGTAGTGACATGGGCTGAAGAAGCCCCACCATATGATCAATTACTAGATAGTGATAAGCAACATGCCCTATTCACTGATGGATCTTGCCCTCTTGTAGGAAATCATCGGAGGTGGGAAGCTGCTGTGTGGAGTCCCACACAATGAGTCACAAAAGTGGCTGGGGGAGAAGGTGAATCAAGTCCATTTGCAGAGGTAGAAGCCTTCCAGCTGGCCTTTGACATTGCAGAGTGAGAAAAGTGGCCAGTGCTCTTTCTCTACACCGATTCTGCTGAGGAACATCAGAAAACAACCAGCAAGTGGATCAGGCTGCTCAAGTGTTACAGACTTAGACTGGGAACATGGAGGGGAACTGTTTTTAACTGTGGGCACATGACACTTCAGGACATCAAGGAAGAGATGAAATACACAAATAGGCTTGTGACAGAGGGGTGGATCTATGGATGCTATTGCACAGGTTATCCACATTTGTGAAACGTGGGTTGCAATCAAGCAAGCTCAGTGGTTAAAACCTTTGTGGTAAGGGGGACAAAGATCAAAGTATAAGTAAGGGGAGACCTAGCAGATCTCACACTCCCTCAAACCTGCCAGGGTGAGCGCTACTGGCATACAGTGGTGGAAACAAACACTGGATGGCTGGAAACATATCCTGTGCCTCACACCACTGCCTGGAACACCATCCTGGGCCTTGAGAAGCAGATCTTGTAACAACACAGTACTCTGGAGAGAACCGAGTCAGACAGTGGGATTTATTTCAAAAGCAATCTCATCAACTAGACAGCCAAAGAATATGGTATCAAATGAGTTTATCACATACCTTAACATGTAGCATCCTCTGGAAAAACTGAACAATACAATGAACTGTTAAAAAATACTCTAAAAATAAACAGGGGTGGAACCTTTAAAAACTGGGACAAGCATTTAGCACAGGCCACCTGGTTAGTTAATACCAGGAGATCCATGAGTTGAGATGATCCTGCTCATTTGGGCCCTTTACATACATTAAAAGGAGATGATAAACACTCTGTGGTGTAGGAAAGGAATTTGTTGGATATAACTGTGTGGATATCGCTGCTTTGAGCAAAGGCAAACTCATGTGTGGGATTACTTTCACTCAAGGACCTGGAAATACTCGGTGGATGATGATGAAAGACAATGAAGTCCTTTGTACATCTCAAGAGAATTTAACTCTGGGTGAGACTATTGTTTAAAGCTGTATAATGTTAGTTGAGTAACACAAAAAATGTTCAATAAATGTCTTTCAGAATAACATAGTGGTGATGACAGGAGCTAGTGGTGATGACACTTCATCGAGTGACGCCCAGTAATCTCCTGAGGTGAACCTGCAACCTATGGGCATGAACTGTAACAAATTTCATAACATCTTTCCTGCCCTGAGAGACTGCTACGATGGATGAAAATCTGCAGTTGGGAACCAAATAAATAATTAATTTTTCTGCAGAAAGAAATTATAAACTAGTGATGGGTATGATGTAAAAGGTATACAATAGGGGGTGGAATGTCCTGGTTTGAATTAGAACACAACTAGTTCTGTTCAGCATCACTTTTCAGCTAAGTCCCTCCTAAGTAACTGCACTTTCAGTAGTTAACAGTGTATTTTGCAGACAGTGTCAGCTTCTAGCAGTGGTAACACTCCACGTTTGCAGTTGCTACCAAGGACTGGTGTGCAGAAAGGCTCTTGTTTCTATTTGCTCCTGTGCAGACCAAGGTCACTGCTAAATCTTGTGTACCACATTAGAGGTGCAGAAAGTAAAAGGCTGCACTTGTGGGGGGAGCAGACAGGACAGGTGACCCTAAATTGACCAGCGGGGTATTCCACCCCATATAAAGCTGAGGGATCACAAGGGTCAAGCTCTCTTCTTCAATGGCTGGCATCCGAGGAGAACTCTGTCCATTCTGCTTTCAATCCTAATCCATGTGTTCCTGAATTCACCTCCTGAATTTGCTTACCATCTGCTGCTGAGTCCAGTTTGGAACTTTTCCAATGCCTGCACCACAACATCAGTGGTGATGGTGACATAATTGCCATCGGGGGCTTGGGTTTGATATTGGTTTTGTATATATTTGTATATATTTAATTTTATTATTGTTTTCATTAAAGCTGTTTTATTTTTCTTCTCCAGTCCCTAAGTTGCTCTCCCTTATTCCCTCCAACCCCTCCAATTTGCCTTTATGGTTGCTAAAATCACAGTCCCTAAGTTGAAGGACATGCACTGCATCTTATTCCACACAGAAGGAAAAAACTCTTTGACTTGTATCCAGCCAACACAGGAACTGCATCTTGTACAGACACATTTTCAAACTTCAGTCTTCAATTTCAGTATTTGTGCTTTTAGGTGAGAGCCAGGGTCACAGATGCCTTAAAATTTCTGTACTAAGCAATCAATTACATCATTAGATATATAAGTACCTTTAAAACTCTTTTAGCTCTTACTCAGGACATGAAGGCTGCTGCTGTGGAAAGAGAGGTGATTGGGGCATTCCATCTTGTGGGTGTCTTGTAAAATCAGTCATATAGGGAAATCACAACTCTAAAAAGAAACCAGGTCAATGAATTCAATATAGTCAGGTTGAAATGTCAGTGCTTGGGAGGACAGACTGGTGACAGGCTTTCAGAAACTACTTTGGTACTCATTTCAACGAGACACAAAACAGAGAATGAGTGACTGAGTGAGCAAGGAAAAAAGTGCAACCACAATGGTTGTGGTCTGACTACAGCATCAAAAACATAGAAATTATGTCAATGACTGCATGTTTGACTGTACTTGTCTCTTGCCTTGTGTTTGCAGTATTTCTGACACAGAAACTCACTTGTCCTTTACAGCCTAATGTAAATTAGTCATACACTGGCAGGCAATTCAGCAGAATTTTTTTGCAGGGGGACCATTTACTTCAGAAGGTAGCAGTTTTGTGGAAGCCTTTTCCAATATTTTGTCTTTTTTGTAGTGATACATTTCACTAAAATGACATTAGATCCACTTTAGCGAGGATCTGGTGTAGCTGCTGTGTTAAGCTTGGTCTCATGCATGACCTACCGTGTGTGTTGCAGTCACATGGGCTTGATTTCATGGATTCGTTGACCCAGATGGGATCAGAGAATGTTCTAATAGGTACTTTAGATATGTAAAACTCCACTTGGCAGGGGAGACACAGGAATGAAGCCACTGTCCCACTCTTGTGACCACAGAAAGGACATCTACAATGAAAGCAATCCCACTTGTGGAAAATAAAGTATCTGGGTGATGCAGAGTGGTATGCAAAGCATTGCATAGTTGGTGGGGAATAAAGGGCCAAGATTCACTTTATACTTTCTTCTTTGGGATTTCAGGAACAAACATGTATTTTCTGGTCCATAGAACAGTTTCTTGCAGGCAGAGAAGATAAGTGAGTGTTTGGCCTCTTCATTTATTTGCCCCTTGGCAATACAAGGATTGTATCATCGTTTTAAAGGTTCATTAATTCTGACATTACCTTGGGAGATACTTCACCAGAAATTATTCTTAAACTTTTTTAAGATAAGCAGTTGAAGGACAGTAGTAAGAAACAGACCAAATAAAACATAATTCAGGTTAAAAATCTTAAAATGAATCATAACACATAGGAAATTATTAACTCAAGTTGTTTCTTAATGGAAAAGGCATGAATTTAATTAACCAGGTTTTTCCTTCAGAATACCTTTCGCTATCTCAGAAACATTTTGATGAAAAATCAAAATGTGTTATTTGGAAAATGTTGTTCTTATGTCTCATGGGAGCTGTTTTTTCTTTTGAATTCCAATCCTTTTCCAGTCTAAATTTCTGTGGGACTTAGATCTTGGAGTGTTATTACTCATTGCTTATTTGCTCTATCCAAAGCTAGGAAATATAGTCTGATTTGTAAGCTCAGACTACAAAAGAGAACAAAAGCATGAACAACTGTGTATTAACTCACCTGTGCACCTCGGGGCTTTATTTAAACTGGCATTTTTGCTATACAAACTTCCATCAGTAATCTGACATTTCTTTTTTTATTTTAAACTTTTGGTTTTATCATCATTTTCTCCAAGAAAACAAAATATTTTAAAACAGCTTTTCTGAAGTCAGTGATTATCAATGGGATGATACATTTACAGCTCTTTATGCTTCTTTCTGGAATCCAGGCCAGCCAGGAGCTAGGCTGGTTCTCAGAAGTGATGCTGCAGTGAAGCAGAGGAGTGCTCTGAGAATGACTGTGCTCCTCCTTCAGAAATTCCATGTTCAGTCTGAGAAGAAATCACCTCTGAATCTTTACCATTTTAACATGACCAGAAAAGTGTTTCCCATCAGTTTTTTTTCAGTCTCCCCTCATTTCAAACTAAATAACAAGTGTGTTAGTGGAAGAAAACTGATAGACTGTGAGGTTTTACAAATGCAATCATGTGGCTTGGGCTAGGGGTGAGAGCTAAACACTGATTACACACTTCCTCTCCTTCCCCAAGTACTCAGTTTATACCCCTTACCCATCTCCTGAGCTCTGTTTGCTCAGAGATAAAAGTTATCACAAAAAGAACCCCCAAACCTGTAGAAGGTTTTAGGAGGGCTCTGTCTTCTCTAACTGGTTTGACAGAGGTGATCAAACACTTTGATGCATCCCAGTCAATGCTGGATGGATGTCAGCACTGGGATCATGCTCTTTCAGTCCCTGACACCTCATAATGCATAAGAGGACCTGTATCTGACATGAAAGAGCAGGCAGAATCAAGTGGGACTGATGCTGAAAATGCAAACAAAAAACAAAATCAAAGGGGAAGCAAGTGTGTGGTACTACAAAATGTAATGCTGGGGAGAAATTATGAAGACAAGGAGACATAAAAATAAGAGGAATCTAGAAAAAAAACCTGAACAAAGAAAGAGGAAGAAGTAAGGAGAAGAAAAAATTAAATACAGAAATACTAAAACCTAAAAAAACATTTGACAGGGAGTGAAAAGCCAGATGCAAACAAAAGAAGGAATATTTGATAGAATTAATAAGAAAAAATATATTAACAATATAGGATGGTAATGTTAAAAAAAAAATACCCAAACCAATCTGAATGTAAATGTATAATTTACTTTTTGTAGTCTGAAAGAATGATGGAGAGACCAGAACCTCAACTGATAGCTGGATTTTTGAAGCAGATTAGACTGGTCAAAATTTAACCTACTGAATGTTAAAGCAGGATGGAACAGTGTGGTGTGGATGTGCTGCTTTCTTTTAGAATTAACTCCCCCACAACATTCTGAGTCATTCCAGATGAAACATGTGGATTCTGGAGTAACTCAGATGGTGGTTTTGTTTTCCTTATCTTTCGATATTTTCTTGCCTTAATTAGTGGAGGCAGAAAACTAGCATGTGGTGAAATTTGCAAAACCACAATAACCATATTGAGAGTGTTTCCTTTCAGAGCTCTAACATATGAACAAAACCCAACTACATGTGGGGGCTTCATTTGCGTAATATGCAGATTTTAAAATACTTTTTTTAAAAAGAAACACACCTTTCCACTTGCCACAATGTGAAGGTGAAGTACAAAGCGTCTGCAAGGAAGGCTGTCTGGGCTTTGTAACTGGGTCAAAAGAAAATGTGCTGAGAAGGTAAGTTGGACTACTTACCTTGTATTAACTTTGGCATTCACTTGTATGGGGAGTCCTTCACCTTCTCAAAGACTGTTATGCATGCTGAATATTGAATATATAGCAGACAAAAAGCATGAGATACATTTAAATTAGAAAATGCCTGAATATGGAACAAAATCAGCGATGTTTTTTGTAATGGAGAAGCTAAGATTCTGATTTATCTTTTCATTACCCATTAAAATTCTGATTTATCTTTTAATTACTCTCTTTTCATGAAATAGTGTTGATAATACCCAACTGCTACACAGGCAAAGATGTTACTGTTCCAAAAGTAGGTTGTTGCCTGAGAGAGATGCTGGAAGCTGTTACTAGCAGCAGAAGTTTTTGTTTGAATATGGACTACAGTCATCACAGGCTTGGTTGGTGACATCCATTTCTGTAATACAAAAATAATTTTTACTTTGATTATTCATTATTTGCTGCTTATATGACTGCCAGAGGCTGGCTTTGTCTTTATGTAATGAAGTGTGCTTTGGAAGATGCAGATCTATCTCTTCAGTTATCAGAAAGAGGCACTTAAAAGGCTCCTAGTGAAATGGCCCACAATGAAGTATCAACAAATTTCTTTACAAACATAGAATGAACTCTGAATTTGCTGGGTTTAACAGGAGCTGAGACCATGTTTCCCAACATCAGACACTGTGGGCAGGAGTCAGTAGTTCAATTCAGAGAGGATGTAGACAGAAAGTGAGTTCTCCGTAAACAATATCTAGGCTGTCGTATATGTTATGTTATTACAAAAGTATGTGCACCTCATCTTATCAAGGATAAATGTACTTTTCCTTGCAGCACTTGAGGGACAGGAGATTTTAAAATGAAGTGGTGTTTTTTTCTTTCCAAGAAAGTCTAGAAAATACCTTATGAGCCTCATCTGAATCAATGAAGTTGATTAGGTGGCTTCCACTACTACTTTTCAACATTCAAGTAACAGCAAGTTAGCAAAACAGTACAAAAATGTAGTTAAAAAAACCCCATAAAAGCCCCTCTTAGCAAAGCTTTAAAGGGTGGCCTGAAAATTTGTGAAATTTTAATGATGGAAATTGTTCTGAACTGGTTCACTATTGTCATTAAGGATGCCTCGAAAGATTCACAAAATCTGGGCACCTTGCCAGTCATCTTAATGTAGAAAACCAAAATGCAGTGCAGTTATTCAGCAACTTCCACCACAACATTGCCAGTCCTGCTTCTGAAGATGGCCAGATAAAGATACCTAGGGAGGAGAAGATCTGCCTGATGACTTTTTCTTTGTTATCCTTGAAATTTCCAGGCATCTGTCTTTTGACCTTTGGTGCACCCCGGTCCTATAACTGCAGCCGCTATTTTGATTTATCAGTAGAAATATAAAATGGAGATAATCTTTGTTGTTTGCTACATTTGTTCCTCTGGGCTGTCTATCTTTACCTCTTCTCTGCACTGAAACTCACACATCTTCCTTCCTCCGTGTAACTGGACTTTACCAAACCCTATTTCAAATGCTCAGCTACTTTATGGATTTAATCATAACCTTCCCTGGGCCTGTGGTGACAGGGAACTCTTTAGTCCAGATAGGAATAAAGAGGTCAAATTAATCTTGTAGTGAGCCCGTTGAAGTTACCTGAGTCACAATCTAGATAGATTTCACACTTTTTTCTTTACATGCACCAAACTTTGAAGATTGCTTTCCAGTAGTAACAATCAAAATATGTATGCACCGTGTCCACATATACACATAGAGGAAAAAACAAGAGTCATGTTTCAGGTTTTTTAACTATCTCTTGTGTTGTTCTATGCAAATGTGTTGGGATTTTGTCATAGCTGAACTCAAGACCTTCCATCTGATGAAAATCAGCCATTGAGAAAATCAAATGTGCCTCCTTAAGAGATTGTGAACCATTGTGACATGATACTTTAAACCCACCAAGTCATATTTTGACAGTATGCAGCATTTTGTTTCATGCAGTGGGTATGGCTAGTGGAAAGCAGTGCCATACTTTGGCTGTTAGGTAGCCACTGCTACTGTTATACTAAGTTCTGAAAAAAATAAGCATGATATCTATAATCCTGCATTACTTTAGGTCCAGTGTTCTATTAATTTAGAGGCTTAATACAGCCTTATTAATAGAAGGTCGTCTGTATTAATGCTGTCTGGTGTCTTTAATGAGATCACAAGCTGCAACTGAATGTTCACACACAAAATTTCTAAAATAAGTAAATTTGAAGGGATTTTTAACTATTTTTTTTTTTCTGCTAATGCAAACATCTAAGTTGTCACTGAGGTCTGGAAGAGAAATATTTATAACTTTTAAAATTCAAGAATCATAAAATGAAACATTGTCTTATCTAGTTCCAGCTAACTTTAACAACAGACCTGAGCAGCATGCACACTAACAGCAAATGCTTGTGCCAAGCAGGCAAATTCAGCTGCATTCTCCTTCTTTACCTGGGTTTTTACATATTTTATGTTAGCAGTTAAGGCAAAACATTTGGATACTGGGCGTCTTGACATACACCAGATTTATTTTGTTTCTTCTGAAACAGAGCTATTACTCAATTCACTAATTAACACTTGTCTCAGTTCTGCAGTTCTACTGTGATCAATCTTTTTGATTTAAATGATTAATGGTTAAACTGCTCATATGCATGTCATTAAGTGCACCCTTTGCAAAAACAAGCCATCATTCACGTGTGTTCTGAGCACAGTGATAATTAACAACCTACTTTTTGTGATTCTGGTAATAGTTTGATTATTTTAAAAATAATATCATTACCTAGGTAATGATATGACTGTTTTGTAAGTAAGTAGCCTTCAGCTTGCATGCTTCCAGCACAGAGAAGGTTAAATAATTTCCTTTATGTAAAAAAGCAGGTTGTTGTTATTGCTTGTCAGGAGGAAGTGGTGATTATTTCAATTTAACTCTGTACCTTTAACTAATGCTGTTATTTCTTGGCTTTCAAATTAAAGTGTATTCCTGTTGAGACTGATGGTAAATGGGCTTGAGAGAGCCACAAAAGAATGTGACAGAATCACACTTCCTCTTTCACATGATCTTCAGACAATTTTCAAATCTGGTAAGTACTAAAATAAAATAGATAATCTATGATTTATGTATGTGTGATGAATGTATTAAAATGAAACTATAAGTAGGAGTGTACTTACAATGGTGGACAATGCCAAAAAATACTTATTGATTCCCTCCAAGAACTTAATTTTTTTATCTATTTAGAAATCTGTCTTTTTCCTTAGGTCTTTCTTTATCCATGTATTCATATTTAAGATTGTAGTTTAGTCTTACTTTTGAGTATTCAGATATTGTTTTCTTAAGGAAAATGAATATTATGATGTGGAAACATAAATAAAAAATGCAATGCTTATAAATTTAATATTCAGAACTTAAGCATGTTTGTATGCACATATGTAGACACGAGCCCATATGTAGTATATAAACAGTGTTAGAACACACACCTTCTTACATATATGGAAATTTATTTTTGTAACTTCCTAATACATTAATGCTAAATAAAGCTATAAATATGCAGATTTAAAATTATAAGGGTGTCCAACAGGAAGATTTAAATTGAAAAGAAAATTGTGTTTATAGGAGTTCTGATTCAACTTATTTGCAGCCAGTGTTGTTTCAAATTCAGAAAAGGAAATCAACTCAAGAGATTTAAATCAGACCCTAAATCTGATCTCTGCAATTCTGGTTTCAGTTTGAGTTCTCTACTATTCTCATACCAATCATCCTCAAGAAGCTTTTGCTGGACAGTGGAAGTCTTTTTCTGAATGAATGAGTGACTGGTGGTCCCTTTGTGAATTCCTGTAGCATCAGGGGGAGTACACAGCTCTCCTATGGTGAGTAGTTGTTGTTCCCTACCAGCTTGGTGCTGAGCTCTTCTGAGGACCAGAGAGCCCTTCTTCAGGGCTAATCTGAAGAGATTTCCTTTCTTAGCTCTCTTTGCAGGATGGTGGAAACACCTGTGCTCCTTTTCTTTTAAATGCCTTCACACTGTCTTTTTCCTTCTATGTGTTATTCTACTGCTTGAGGGTAGCTTTGGCTGCCTGGAATGAAGAGCAACTTTTACAAAGAGTATAGGCTCTATTTGTATATTTTAACCATGTATCTCCTAGAAAGAGATGAGTGACAGATACCTGGAAAGATATTTTTCTTGTAACAATAAAATAACTGTTTCTAAGATAATAACCTAGACAGTTAATAGCCCTTCAGTGCTGTGTAACCAAAGAGTTACTGTAGTTGGATCCACGAGCAAGGGGTTGCAAACAGAAACAACCACCAGCCAAGGACATGAGTATCTGTCTGGATGGAGTCAGAGGAGGGTAAGGCAGCAGATGGAGACTAGAGTTGCTCACTGATGGGCTACGAGACACAGCCCCAGGTGAGCTGTACAACTTACCTCCTTGCCTTATACATCTTTGCATTTTTGAGTGACACCTGAAATTGTTTAAAGCTTGCTTCAGAAGATGTTCAAGCACTTTCAGGCTGTCATGTTCCTGCAGCTTCTAAAAATCAGCTTTGAAAAGCCAGCAGAGGAAGCTGTAGAGGTGGTTAAAGATTTGTATAAAGGGCAGAAAAGCCAGAGAAGCTGTGATGCTTAAGAAACATTACATAGTATGAGTCTTTACCTATCTGCAAGCCATCTGTTGTGAGCCAGCCTCACCACATGAGTCACAGAAAGTTTCATCCTCATTATGCTTTTGGAGAGTGTTCAGTCCTTTCCCTTGCTCATTGTCCTAGTTATATCTGGACTGCATCTGCCCCACTTTTATAGATTATCTGTTTCTCTCTCTCCCTGATACCATTCAGGTAATTCCCAAACAGGAAGAATTTCTTTATCTAGATTTAAAGTTCGCCCATGCACACTTCCTTATTAGCAGCACAGCTAACAAAAGGAGAAATTCTAGATGAAACTGCCATTCACAGTCTTAGCAAATATGGGACCTTATGTTATCCAGTCCCTGCAACTACTGCATTGCTGGCATTTGCTGTTCTCACAGAGCAGCTACTGGAAAAGGAGGACTGAACTCATGCAGGGGACTGCTGAGGAGCTAAATCTCATACCCCTGGGTTGCTGGGTCAAACAAACTGTTTAAGCCTAGCTTTGTGCATGTGGCCACTGACAGCATGTTCCTCATTTTATCTTTGACTTTAGATGCTGTGGTCTGACTTGCAGAAGTCTGAGCCTGGCAGCAACCAGAATGAATGGCTTTAATCTTTTACATAACCAAAGTCCTTTATAATGCTAAGCACTCTTAGAAATGGTCTTAGGAGGGGACAGACATCTCAAAATGAAAGTAGATACTTACTGTAATGACTCATTGCTCAGATTCTTTCCTTTTCCTCCTCACCACAGAATGTTGTGCAAATTAATTAATTACCATTTGTAAATTACTTAGGTATCACAGTGATAAAGAAAGTAAGTTATTTTCACTGAGTCTATAACACAAAGATCTGCACACCAAACAGACAAAACTAGTGCTTACTCTGTTCGCATGGCGCATACTATCCTTTACACTATAAGAAGCAGTTATCTTGGCACTCTTAATTTACCTCACTAACATAAGAAAAAAGGGCAGATAATGGGATGTGAAAAGTGCTAAGACATGCTGATAAAATGCCAGAGGGAAAAAAAAAATGTTAAAGAGTTGTACAACGGTTAGGGAGTACACTAAGGTAGTGCAGTTCATTTGTTCCATATTTCCCTCAACGCACTGATTGCTGTTGTTGTACTGAACTTCTGAAAGTAGATTTTAATTTACTCTCTAATTTCTCGTGGTGCCAAGTCAATGTGAAGTGTCACATATTTCCATATATCATTTATTAGCCCTATAGATGAATATTCAATATGTAAGACTATGCTCTTAATGATGCTGGTACAAACACACACTTCACTCAGCCGCACATTGTTCTGAAGAAATGTGCAATTTGTTGAGATGTTTTTCTTTATTGTTGATATAGTTGAAGTGATGAGATTCTTCTAATAAATATTTGTTTTTCTACTTGTCCACATTTCTTGTGCTCATTTCCCCAATCCAGTCTACTCTGTTTTCTTTGCAGAAATCCTTGGGAAAGTATCTTGAAGTTCTTCTCGACATATTTTTCTTTCCAAGAAGCGTACTGCCAAAATGAATTTTGTAAGTACTTAATAGATAAACCTATATTAGTACATCCATAAAGCAATGAATCTGGAAGTCCCCGCTCTTTGAGGCTGTTGATCCAAGGTCCCTAACCTCAGGAGGGATGAACTGAAGAGATGCTTCTGACAGCAGAGTTCACTGTCAAAAAACACTGTTTATTTGGTTTACATTCTCCTAATATAACTACAGATTTGATGTTTGTAGTGTGGGTGACTGTGTCTCAGACAAGACATCCTGCACTGCCTGCCTAGCTGAGTGGAGAGAAATAATCACTTTTGGGCTTGATTTAGCCAAGCTACATTAGTATGAAATACATAACATCCTAGAAAGGCCTGTACCCCTCCCTGAATGGTAAGGGAAATCTAGAAAACTGCTTCAAATTCAGACTTTTGTACTGTAGTGTCTTCTGTGATGTCAAACTAATCCTTTCTGCATAATGTATTTAAAGATGGAAACATTTGGGCTATCCAAAAATATTATCTCCATGTTAATATTTTAATTAAGATTTTATGAAATCCCCTAGTTAGTTCTTACAAGTCTCTGCAGTGTTAAATATGTTTGTGACTGGGGTGTGTGGTCAGTGGAAGCAGCGTAAAATGTAGCGTTGGAGGAAAACAGTGATGTAGACTATCCTGAGATGAGTTTGATGTAGACTTGAAGTTGAGACATGGGAAGGACTGAACAGAACTGTTATACTCATCATAAGGGAAATGTCACTCCTATTCAAAACAGCAAGCCATATAATACTTGTATACTAATTTTTGAAAGATTTTCAAAGTACTTTGTATTTGCATGACTTCATTCTCTCTCATCTTTCTACTATATAGCAACTAGAGACTCACATCTATGTGTTAACTGGTGATCTTCTCTTTTACAGACAGAGCCTCATACCACAGATTATCTGTATTACTCAGACTATGCTTCTCTAATCACACAACCTTGTTCGAAGCTGGAAGTCAGGAACTTCACAAAAGCATT